TGAAAACATCTAAGGAAAAAAAGAAAAGAAAGAAAATGAATCTAATTCCAGTGTGTAGGACCAACAATAAGAGAAAATAAGGTTAGAAAATCTGACAGACACAACTGAAATCAAGAGCTACCATAACTAAAGACAGTGCTTGACTCATAACTGAAACTAGGATCATAAAATATACATACATATAAAGGACATTACTGGGACAAATGTGGAAAATTAAACAAACTATATATTGGATAACAGTATTTATTAATGTTAAATTTCCTGAGAGCTAATTATGTTGTGGTTAATAATTAATTATGCTGTAATTAAGTATGTTAGAGAATTATGCACAATGTATTATATAACATGCTGTCCTTGTCCTTAAGAGATGTGTGCTGAAGTACTTTGGGTTGAAAGGTTATGATGCCTGCAACTAACTCAAATGGTTCAGGAAAAAAAAGTAGATATATAGAGAGATTAATACAAATGCAAGTGTGACAAATGTTAATAATTGGTGAATCTAAGAACAAGATATAAGAAGGACTCTATGGAAAGAAGCACAGGTTTTAGTGACTGACTGGCTGCTGGGGGCACAGAAGAAGGAAACGTTTTGCATGTACATGACACAGAATACTGGTACTGCCACCCAAAAAGGGAAGCTAAGAAGCAACAGTTTTCAGGAGACGCATGTTGAACCTGGCTACAGATAAGAAGTGGCAAGAAGAAACAACATGCTAGAATGAAATGAGAAGAAATGTCTGAGCAACTGGGACCTAAGAGAGATGCATGAGAGGGAAAAGAGTAAAGGGAGAGAGGACTGACATCATAATTTACTGGTAGAAGGTGGGAAGAGAGTAAGAGAAAAACCAGGAGAGTTCTATGTGACAGAAACTAAGGCAGGAAAAGGATTAAGGCAGTGCTCCATGGAATGATCAACAGCATCAAATGCTGCAGAAACATTAAAGGTGATGACTGGCAAATGCAATTAGGAAATAATCAGTGAATTTGGGGTACAAGTAAAAACCAGGCTATAGGCTCCAGAAAAAGAACAAATAAAGCAGAAATGCAAGACTGGGTATAAATCACTCACTCACTGAAGAAGTTTACCTTAAATGAAATGATGGAAATGAAATGACAGTTAAAAGGAGCAGCAGAAGCATGGGAGAGCTGTATTCTGTAAGAGACTGGGGCAAGCTGGGGAAATTTGTAGTTACAGAAGAAAGAGCAAATAAAGACATCTCAGAGGTGAGCTGAAGAAGTGAGATTTATGATGCATATTAGAGACAGGAAGAGAACTTAGTTCTAGAAATGGAATGGATTAAACTTTAATACAGGAAGAAAGGGTGAGAGAAGAGGTGAAGAGAGCTGCAGTAATAAAAACAGGACATTGACAAAAGTAACTTAGAAGCTGAGAAAGAAATCCCAAGATTAGGAAGAAAAAAAAAAACAACTGCCAGGACAACAAGAATTCAGTCATTTCTGGTCCTTACACAGGCCTCCTACTCCAGCCACCACTGCATAGGGGAATGGGGCAAATACCTGTGACGACCCAATGCACAGTGTAACACCATCTGAGGGGAATCCCGACTTGAGGTGGAGAGACTCTTCAATTAAGGATGGCTTTAGAGGTGACATTCTTATTGTCTTATGATAGATCCTTTACCTATCTGAGTAAAAAGACAATTTTCTTCTATCAACAGAAGATATGCCTGGATTAGCAGCTGCTCTACATTGAGGGCAAAGGTGAGCTTGAAATCCCACTGAAAGAAAGCCACCTGTTGGAAGATACCTGCTGACATTATACGGTGAGTAGAGTGAGATTCGGGTTCCTTGGATCATCACTTTTCAAAAACCTTAGGAGATATGGGTAGCAATTTCCTGATGTCATAGAGCAACTAAAAATAAAACAGTTTTACAACCTTTAAAAGAAATGTGCAGCCACAGCAAAACACTGTATAGAACTCATCTGAAGATAAGACATATGAGAAAGAACAACATTTTTATGGCCTTTTATTTCCTGCAAAAGTCATGTGCAATAAAATAGATGGGACTGAGATTACTTTACTGCTTTAGCAGGTATCCTTACAAATAATTAAAAAACAATTTTAGAATAATCAGAAAAAAAAAGTGATTCCTTCAGGAGATGGAGAAAGAGCTCTTGATATATTTTAACAACTTTTCATGACTAAAAATTCTTAGCTGCTAAAAAGAGAAGACACTCCCTTTAACTTAATAAAGAACATTTACCTCCAGATTTACTATACTTCAAATACTATATATACAGCAAATACTGACAAGAAGAGGACTTCCCTTTTAAATCAGGATCAAAATGAGATGAGCACTATCACCACTTCTATTCAACATTATATTGGAGCTCCTAGTCAGTAGAGTAGAGCAAGAAAAAGACATGAAATGTACAGGATTGAAAAGAAATGAGAAAAATGTTTACAGATAAAGTATCAGAATTAGTAAGTGTCTACCATAATTCTGAATTGAACATCAACATGCAGAAATAAAGTGATTTCTATATGATGATAGCAATAAAGGAAAAAATGAATATTTAAAACATCAGTACATAAAAAAACAGGTATCTAAGAACAAATTTAATAAAAGATATGTAAAATCTCTATGGGAAAAACTGTAAAAGTTCAGAGAAACCTCAAAGACCTAAAGAAATAGATACACCATAACATGGATAAAATGATATTATAAAAAGTAAATCCTCCTCAATGTTTTATAGATTCAATGCAATTCCAATCAAAATTCCAACAGGCGTGTATGTGTGTGCATGAGCACATGTGTAACTTAAAAACTGACCCTAAATTGTAAACTAAAATGCAAAAGACCCAAGCTTCCCACAGGACCCTCAACTACCTCCTCCAGGTATACCATCCCATAGGCCCCCGAGTTTTCAGGTGTTAGGCAGCTGGCATTCTGAGACAGCTTCTACAGAAAACTGGCGCCCAAACACAGATTGTCTAGTATCCAGGCAGTTTGCATATCTCACTAGTAAGTTTGCTCCCTTAGCTGCCTGATAAAAAGAGAGGGCATTGTGGGGAAGGGGGAGGGTATGGGAGGGAGGTGGGGTTCACCACTCTAGCAGAGACAGGCCCTCCCCATGGGGACAACGGGAGGATGGAAGACCAGTGCCTCCTCTTCTACTGCTTGAGAATTTCCTTTCCCTGGTAAAATCTATCCCTTAAATCATGATCTGAGATGTGGATCCGGCTTGGTAAGCAACAGGTGACAACTGAAAAGGAATCCACTTTGAAACCAGGTGGTTACCCAAAGGTAACACCTTATTTCACAATTTTTTTTTAAATTGCTTTAAAATAATAGTAACAATAAGGCCTATGGAAGGCATTCCTTCATTGCCTCTATATTCTCAAGTCTCTTTAATCTTAATCTTTTTCCCCACTGGTACAGAAGGAAAATGGATTTGAGCTATGCCTCCCCTTGACAGAAATTACCAGATAGCAGCATCTTTAGCAACTGACAGTGAAAGTCACTCAGTCGTGTCTGACTCTGGAACCCCATGGACTGGGGCCTGTCAGGCTCCTCTGTCCATGGAATTCTCCAGGCAAGAATACTGGAGTGGGTAGCCGTTCACTTCTCCAGGCGATCTTCCCAACCCAGGAATTGAACTGTGGTCACCTGCATTGCAGGCTGATTCTTTACCAGCTGAGCTACCAGGGAAGCCCTGGTCTACAACAACTCTTATTAGCTGCAAAGAGGAGGGATAAGAGGTCTCTGAAGTTTCTAAGATCCTTTCATATGAAAAGAGAGACTGACCACCTCAAAAGAATTGGTGAGCCCCGGAAGCCTTGTGAGGCTATCAGGGAGCCCCAAGTCAAGTACCTATTAATACAAAAGGAATGGGGTTCTGTGATTCTCCTGTACCAGGCTGCTCAGGGAGCCACGCAGCCAAGCCAGATGCTGAGAGAGAAAACGTTACTCCATTCCCACACCCACTGCACTGGCCCAGGAAGTGCCCCAGGAAAACCCTGGGAAAGTTAACTGAAACTGAAGATACTGAGATGTCAAAGTCCTCAAGATGGCAATGATGGATCTAAAAATAACCTGCCTTGTCATGATGAAAACAGATTAATAAAGTATCATGGCTTAGCAATGAGGAATAGTCTCCTAAACATCTTTATCTCCCTCCAAGGGCCATGGATCATAGAAATGATAATCGGTGGGAGAAAGACCAGAGCCAAGCAAACCTAAGATGCACCCACCTCCACCAGTGAACAGCACTGGGTACAGCGTGTGCTGAGCTGGATAAAAGAAGCCCCTATCTATCCCCTTGCTGGCTATGTTCCACATATAATTTTGCACATGAGGATGTTAGCCATGTCACTGTTAGATGCTAGCAACTCGTAACTGCGGACATGTACTTTGGTCCACTTCAATTCTGCCTGGCAGGATACAGAATATCAATCACCTGACCTCAAAATACGTTACCGATGTCTCAGTCACTATATTACTCTTTAGGAAAAATGTAAATTTCACTAAGTCAAAAACCCTTGTGTCGGGGCTTCCCTGGCATTCTGGTGGTTAAGACTCTGTGCTTTCAGCGTAGGGAGCATGGGTTTGACCCCTGGTCGGGGAACTAAGATGCCCTGCGGAGTAGCCAAAAAAAAAACCAAGACAACTCCATGCCGTGTTTATTTCAAAGCTTCACTGTGAGTGGACTATACCTAGGAAACTCATTTCAAAATCAACATAAACCTATTTATCTCACCATCGGCCTGGTAGCCATCATTGCCCTAAACCAACAAGTCTGTCTGTGAAAAATGAACCATAATATAGGCCCAGTAATAATCCTGTGTGTGTTAAAACTGGTAACAAATCTTAGCAAAGTACTCCCAAAACTATAAACTTAAGTTATTAAATAAAACAAGTTCTAAGACTATCTCCAAAGTTAAAAAATAAAAATGAAAGAACATGAAAGTGTACAGATGGTTAGAGATGGTCAAAGTTCTTAGCTTCCCAGGAACCCTGGCTTAGGAGAGTAGTACCTTATCCATATGGAAGATCAAATCCAATTCACAAACATTTTCAAAACACTTGTCCAGAGTCTCCACGAAAACCTAGGAAACAAGTAGAAATAGATACACAATTCCTATCTTCATAAAATGTCACATGAGAAAGTAAAGGGGGCAGTCAAGATACTATTTGCCTTATGACAAATCTCAAAAACCAACAAAAAACCCCAATGCACTCCAAACCTCCCAGATGATCACCCTGCTTATTCCAATCTGAAGGGGGCAACTGAGGACAGGACCACCTTGTTTTCAATATAGCAACACAACCAGCAGACACATGTAGCTTTCTTTCCCCTTTTACAAGATGCTAATTAATTAATATACAAAAGAATAAAAAAATAACTACTTATATTATGTCCTTTCCCCAAGCCGCCACTTACACATGCAAAAAAATTTTTCATTATGATGGTGTTAACAGCTCTGTCCAGCTAATTTCAATGAACGTTAACTTTAAAATACTTTTCCATGAATCAACTTAATTAACATGCTTAACAATTTTAATTTACCTTTAAATATAAGAATTAAACAGAAAAGTATACAAATGATAAGGGTACAGCTTAATGAGTTCAGAATGAACATACCATGTAAATACCATCCTGATTCTGAAACGCAGCATTAGAGCTCCCTAGAAGCCCCCTCTCCAAAGGTAACCACCATCCTAACTCCTACCATCAATTTAGTTTTGCCAGCCCCTGAATCTACTTAAAAGGTGGCAAATTATCCTTTCCTCACACTGCTACTTACACTCAAGTTTTTCCAAACTAGCAAAGTATCACTGAGGGAATATATATCACATGATAAAACTATACAGAGAAGCAAAGCAATGATAAACTTAAAAGTCTGAAAAAGTGAATGAGAAGGACAGAATTGAGGAGGGACATATAGGAGATTTAAGGCCCTAGCAACGTACTGTTTCTTAATCTGGGTGACAGTTTCTTCTTTAAATTGGTATTCTTCAAACTATATAGTCATGTTTTCCATATTTGTTATATATACAAGTTTCACAATAAAAATTACTTAAAAACAACAGCAATCTTATTGAGATTCTGATTGAGTTTTAGTAATTTATAAGCCGGAAGTACAGTTGACCCTTGGGCAACACAGGTTTGAACAGTGCGGGTCCACTTACGCTCAGATTTTTTTCAACAGTAAGCAATGTAGTACTACACAATCTCTAGTTGGTTGAATCCGAAGATGAGGAACCATGAATAAGGAGGAAATGTGTACACAGAAGAACTGTGTATACAGAGGAACTGGGTATACAGAAGGGTCCACCGTAAGTTATATGCAGATTTTTAACAGCATGGAGAGTCAGCACCCCTGGCCCCTGTGTTATTCAAGGGTCAACTGTACTGACATTTTAAAAGTAACTTATGTATGTATATGTATAATTTAGTCATTTTCTCAAAGGCAAAGGGTATGCTTTATTAATTTATTTTGCTCTTTTATCATATTTTCAGCAGAATTTCAAAGTTTTCTCCATATAGATCTTACATTTTTACATTTATCCCTGGGTACCTGAAGGAAATTTTTGCCATCATGAGTGGGCCCCTTTTAAATTTTATGTTTTCTAAGTTATTATTGCTAAGGGAAAGCTACTAATTTTCATACATTAAACCTGTATCCAGTCCCTGAATTCTACTGATAGTTGTTTTCCAATTGTTTTGGATTTTCCAGGTGGATAAGAATTTCATCTGCAACCATTACATATTCTGAAGCCTAGTAAAGCCAATCACTCGTCACTGCCCTTTTCTTCTCAAAACATATTTCTGCATTTCTTGGCCATTCATTTTTCCTGATAAACTTTCTCTTCACCAAGTTCAACAAGATCTCCTGGATTTATACTCGGTTTCCCATTTCATCTATTGATCACTACTGTCATCTTTGCTCTCTATTCTCTTCCCAGTAAGGAGAACACTTGTAGCGCCACTTAATTCCTTTATGTTCTTCCTTTAGGATTTTTCAGTTTTATTGGACTCAACGTCAAGTATTCCATACTACGTTAATTTCCAAACATTAAGTATCCTTTGTCACTACTGTAAGTGAAATTTTTTTAATTACGAATTTTCTAGCTGCTTTCACAAGAAAGAGGAAATTCAATTTTATAAACTGGTCTCATATTCTGCCATTTTGCTCGTATCATTCATTGCCTGTTACAATCTCTGCTCACTTTTTTTCTTTTTTTAAGGTTTTCAGGGCATCTTACAGTGATAACTTACCTCTCTCCTCCTTAACTATGTTATTTATTCACTTCTTTTTTAATCACTCATTACAAATGTTTGCTCATATTAGAGTGAACGGTAAGAGACACCCTTTTGATAAATGCCTGTAGATTTCTCCCCTGAGAAAACTCTGGCTCTTGGTTTTAAAACTAAAATTGGCTGTTTCTGGATGACTGGGGGAGAGGAGAAGAAAGATGTTTTCACTATTTACTCTTGGTATACCTTTTGAATTTTGAGCCACATAAGTGTATTATTTCTTCAACAATAAAAACTGAATAAACATGCACTACATAACCAAGTAAAAATACTTCCTATTCCAATTTAAGAGTACTTCAGATAAATAATTTGGGTAATTATTTCTCTGAGCATCTACTGGATGAAATTACATTAGTTTCTACTATCTTTCTTATTGCTGTAACAGAGATGTGGCTCAGACGGTGAAGAGTTCACCTGCAATGCAGGAGACCTGGGTTCAATTTCTGGGGTGGGAAGATCCCCTGGAGGAAGAAATGGCAACCCACTCCAGTATTCTTGCCTGGAGAATCCCCATGGACAGAGGAGCGTGGCGGGCTACAGTCCATGGGGTCACAAAGAGTTGGACACGACTGAGCAACTAAGCACACACACAAGACTATTTCATTGTTAAACTGACTTGTATCCTTGGAATAAAGACTATTAGGATATAATGAATAATTCTTTTAGTAAGCAGTATTCCAGAGAGAAAAAAATTTAGTTAGAAAAGAACATCTTACTTATAAATCAAAACAAATGCTCATACACACAGAGCCAAAACATGAAACAAAAACCCTTACACCAACACAACATGAATGATTTAAGATCATACTGCTTGTTAATGGGAGAATCCAAAACAAGAGACAGGTCTCATGACTCCTTGCTTCAACAAATAACCAGCTAAGATTTTATTTAATGATTCTGTCCAATAGTAATACGTAATATCTGACTAATATTTTCTTTTTGAGAGGCTTTTGGATCATAACCATAAAATAAGCAGTACAATTTTAGTCTGAGTTTAAAAAATAACTTACATAATAGAGGCTTTCTTGTACTTTTAACATTTAAAAAAAATCTACTGAGTCTATTAGGGAGTCAGTTTTTCATTTAACCTTTATTTCATTAGGATATTGGATTCAAGGTCTTTCTGTGGACCTACTTTGGATATTTATTTTTTGGAGTCAGTTATTTCAAATACATTAGCATTATAACTATGTATTTCAACCTCTAAAAACATTTTGATGGTTTCTTTTTCTGACTTTTATTCTCTTTTTATTAGGATAACTATTGATTTTATTGTCTTTTAAAAGATCAAACCTCTTACTTCCTATTATCTTCACCTTTTATTTATCTATCTTCCCAAATCTAATACACCCTAAGTATTTAATAAATGTCCATAATATTATAGTCCATAATATTATAAAGTTACATTTCTCTTTGTCTTGTTAACATAGATATCTGAAGTACATCTCCTCCAAAAACTGGAGCTTAATTTAAAAAATATATTATCACTATATTTCATTTATTTTCTAATACATTTGTTACATGCACATTCCTACAGCATTCTATAGTGTAAAATACTTAATACATTGTCACAATTGAATTCTATGACACAGTATTTTAGATTTTTTTAGTTGAAATATAGTTGACATATAATAATGATGTTAGCGTCAGATACATTACATAGTGATTTGACATTTGCATTGACATTTTATAATAATAGATAAAATCAACACAATTAAGACTAGTAACCATCTGTTTCCAAATACAGTTATTGAAATATTATGGGTCATATTCCTTAAGTTGTATATTATATCCCCGGCTCATCTGTTTTACATCCAGAGGTCTGCACTCTTAGTCCTCTCTACCTGTGCTGCCCTCCCTCTATCGTCCTTCCTTGACAACCATCTACTTATTCTCTGCAAATCTGTTTCCATCTTTACAACCTAACATTTCTATATCATATGGTGGATCCATGACTCAAACCCAGGTTTTCTGATTCTAGATCTTGAGCTCTTTCCATTATACCACATTGACTCTCAATATCCAATCTGACTCAGGTGTTAAGAAAGCATTTAAAATTACCACAGAGATGAGTCTTTTTGGCTGTTTCCAGTATTTATTTATACTTCTATATATGATAAGTGAATATGATATACGAAAATTTTAAACTAATACTAAACCATTTTCTCGATGTGAATGGGTAAAATATATAAATAAAATGAAAAGTTGCTATATCCAAGAATATAACTTTTTGGAAGATAATAGTATATGTAAAATAAAAATACACACTCAAAATTTCCATTTCTTTATCCTAAAGTTTATTAAATTTAGCTTCTTTAATTTTATCTTAACAAAATACAGTTGTAAATAAGTAAAGTTTATATTTTATAGCTAGAGTTTTCTATAATTGGTGTTATTAGGTTTTATACAAGCTCTTTTTGAGTGCTTTCAACTTAAGTGACTTGTTGAAGTCACACAAAGTCTATCTAAATATAACGTACCAAATAATGGAATTGTCCTAATTAATGGTTCCAAGTATAGGGTCCCACATACCTCAATTTCCATGAAAGTAATGAAAACAAATCTGTAAGCCATTTATAAATTTCAAAAAGCCTAAAAGAATCATGTTTACCTATGTCAAGGCTGCATATATTAGACAAAATATCAAGTTCCTTTGTTTCAGGCTAGAATTACAAGTGAAAATATAAAGTATGTATTTTAAAATATCATTTAGTTTGATACTTGAAAAAAATCTCAAAACATGACATGATAGTATAATTTATAATGACAAGTATTTGGTATCCATCCTTGTTACTGGCTCCTAAAAACCTTGGAATTTCCAAAGTAACAGGGTTGTCTTGTTCTACTAATAAGGTTAACTTCTGTATAGCACCAAAGAATGGGGGCTGGTTGCCATGGGAACCAACTGTAGGACCGGAAACTTTGAGTCCCACTTACTGATCTCTGGGAGGGGAGAGGAGATGCAGACTCAATCAATCACCAATGGGCAATGACTCAATCAATCATGTCTATGTAAAGAGACCTCCATAAAACCCAAAAGGGACAGGTTTCAGAGAGCTTCTAGGTGAGTAAATGTGGAGATTTGAGAAGAGTGGCATGCCAGGAGAGGGCACAGAAGCTCCATGCCCTTTTCCCCTACCTTGTACTATGCATCTCTTCCATCTGACTGTTCCTAAGTTAATATCCTTTCACAGTAAGCTAGTAGAGAGTAAAATGTTTCTCTATAAAGTTCTGTGAGCCACTCTAGCAAATTAAATGAACCTGAGGAGGAAATCATGTGGGGAGGCAATCTTGGGCATATTCAATCTACAGGCTGTCAGTCAAATGCACAGGTGACAGACAACCTGGACCTGACATCGGTATCCATCTTCAGGTAGATAAGTGTCAGAACTGAGTAAATTTGTGGGACCCCTGGTGAGTGTCCATGGAGAACTGAGTTACCTGCTTCAGGTGCGGGGTGGGGGGAGTATACATATAGGAATTGGTGTCAGACTCATAAGAAAACCAAGGGCAATGAGAGAGCTGGAGAAGCAAAGAACCTAAAAGGGCTAAGAACGGCTGAGGGTTGCTAAGGAGCTTTCTCATAGCACCACCTGGTGGACATGCAGCAATGTTTACCACTATCAATAAAGAGACTGACTAAAGGATCTACATACAGATGAAAAATTTTTAGCTACTACAGATTTCTAGCTACTAAAAATCCATACCAAACTCTCTGAAGTGGCTACTACCATTATGTGCTACACATACCTGGATGAGGTCCAAGATCCCAAGTTCACTCTCTGAGGAATCCACACAAAATACAAAGTAGAGGGTAGCATAATGCCGATAAATCAGTTTGTAGTCAGAGCCACCAATCAAACTGCAGAAGATGGGAAACATTTAAAAGCTTGTATTTGAATTTAACGTATCAAAGACAAACTCTGTGCCAAGAATGAAAATGGGCCCAAAAGAAAGACGGAGGGTAGGCCAAACAATAGGCCATTTCCACCAAGTGAAGGGCAACCAAACTTGGCAGAGGTGCTTAAAGCCATTTTACTTCATTTTTTCTTCTACCCATCCTCCCAGGAACCAAACATTTAAATATCTGAAGCACAATCATTTAATAGCTTCCCAAACAGAGCTGAGTCTCTCCCTGAGCAGACTATGCTTAGCTCAGCTCAACTGCATCAGATACTCACCCAACACTTAAGCACTGCCTGAGGAAGCAATAATGGCATGATGACGAGCACCCGAAAGTGCATATATGGGGAGAAAATTGATGATTTACCTTCCACCCTCCAAGAAGTTACAGATGTTGTCATCCCGTTTGAGAACTAAATGAAAGGTCTCTCGAACAATCTGCTGCTGAATTTCTTCTGGCTATGGAATAAAAGAAATAAAGTGAGTCAGTGGAAAAGCCTGAAAAACTATATCCCATCAAAGAGGAGAGACAGGAAGCCAAGTGCTTCCAAACAGGAATGATCTGAACATTTGGTACCAGTTTCCTGAAAAGACAGAAATGATGAGTAGAGGAAAAAATAAAAGGAGAATCTATAGAAAATGGAAAAGGCTCTGTTACAGGAAATAAAATAGGGTATATTTACCTAGATATCTAGTTCCTAACCATTACTGTCCTGCTAGGTGAGCTGATATTTCTCATACAAGGTCAAAGAATTCACATAAAAGGTTAAAGAATACCTAGAAGGCACAGTCCTGAAATATTTTATATTACCCTAGAAAACATCTATGCCAGGACAAATAACATATGTCAATAGATCTACCACTGTAAGGAAGTCAAGATGTAATCATGTACATGTTTTAAAAACCTGCATGAGAGTCCCTTGGACCGCAAGGAGATCAGATCAGTCAATCCTGAAGGAAATCAGTCCTGAATATTCAGTGAAAGGACTGATGCTGAAGCTGAAACTCCAATACTTTGGCCATCTGATGCGAAGAACTGACTCATTGGAAAAGACCCTGATGCTGGGAAAGACTAAAGGCAGGAGGAGAAGGGGACGACAGAGGATGAGATGGTTGGATGGCATCACAGACCTGATGGGCATGAATTTGAGCGAGCTCTGAGCTGGTGATGGACAGGGAAGCCTGGCGTGCTGCAGTCCACGGGGCTGCAGTCAGAAACAACCGAGTGACTGAACTGAACTGAATGCCAGTAACACAGACATGTATATAAGATGCTGTGTGACCAACAAAGTACTATTGAGAAAGCATAGCATGTTCTATTGAGAGATTTGAATCTTGAACAATTGCAGATCTACAAATACCTTTTTTCACTTACTATTCACTTACTACACACCAGAAAGCTCAAATGTGATGGGATCTCTTGATGACCCACATTTAATTTCTATTTATACATATGAGGTTCATATTAAGTATGTTAAAAAAAAAAAGTATATGGAGAGGGAGAAATCAGTCATTTAAACAAAAACAAGGACTTCCCTGTCAGTCTTGTGGTTAAGACTCTGCACTTCCACTGCTAGGGGTGTGAATTCAAATCCCTGGTTGGGGAACTAAGATCCCACATGTCTCTCGGCCAAAAAGAAAAAAGTAATTAAAAGCCCTAGACCAGTACTCTCAAATCTCAATGTATAATGGGATTTCCCTAGCGGTCCAATGGTTAGGACTCTGCGCTTTCACTGCTAAGGACACAGGTTCAGTCTCTGGCGGGAGAAGTAAGATACCTCAAGTGAGGTGTCTCAGCCAAAAAAAAGCAACAACAACAACAACTCAGTGAGTTTGAATAATGAATCATCTGGAAATACTGTTAAAATGCAGACTAATTTAGTAGGTCTGGGGTAGGTCCTGAGACTGCAGTTCTAACAAGTTTCCAGGCAATAAGAACGTTACTGATCTGAGAACCATTTTGAGTAGCAAAGCTTAAGAAAACCCTCAGAGTCAGAAAATAAACTCAAGTAACATTAACCCCTTTCCCTATATAGCACTGAATTTAGGCTAGAAGTGGTTATTTAAAAGAAACAGAAGAAAAAAGAGGAGAAGCATCATTGTGGAGCAATTACTTTTTATAACTTTGACTTACACAGGTACACAGTGGCTCTCCATATTTAATGAATGGATGAATAATAAAAACTTGCTAATAACTGGTCACTGTAAGTTTAAGTAAATCAATCACTATTTTCTGGTTTCCATTTAAAAGAACTCACAAAGTTCACAGACGCCAGGATGCTGTAAAGGTTTAACTCTGTGTACCCAGAAATACAAATCATGCTAAGCACCAGCATTTTTAAACCAAAAAAAAAAATCTTGAAAACTAAAGCCTTTTATCTGACTTTACCAGGAAGTGATGGTAGTCAGTGGGTAAACAGTATGAAATGGTTAGGCTACCAACTTCTAATTCAACAAAATAGTGAATTACCAATTGCTTACATCTCTCAGTGATTTTCATAATTCCTCCTATCTTTTAGTACTCTGCAGTTTCCAAGGTTATTTTCACTCAGGAGCTAATTTAGTTCTTAAAAATCCTACGCTCTCCGGAGAAGATATACAAATGTCAGTAAGGGCACGAAAAAATCAGTCATTAGGAAAAAACCAAAACTACAAGGAGAATCCACTTAACACCTACTAAAATGTCTTTAATCAAAAAGATAATAGAAAATGTTGACAGAGAGATAGAAAAATTAGAATTTAAAAAAATATTTATTTTTGGCTGCGTTGAGTCTTAGTCGCAGCACACAGGCTCAGTAGTTGCGGCATTGGCTTAGTTGCCCCAGGGCACGTGGGATCTTAGATTCCCCAACCAAGGATTCAACCTGAGTCCCCTGCATTGGAAGGTGGATTCTCAACCTCTGGACCATCAGGGAAGTCCCAAGCTGTATTTCTTATATATTGTTGATAGGAATGTAAAATGGCATAGCCACTTTAGAAACCAGTTTGGCAGTTCATCCAAATGACAACTACAAAGTCACTATGTGACTCAGCAATTCTACTCCGAGATACATACCCAAGAGAAATGAAAATACACACTCACACAAAAAGCTTATACAGGAATGTTTATAGCAGCATTATTCACAAGAGCCAGGGGTAGAAACAGCATCTGATGAATGGGTAATCAAAATGTGATAGTTCCACTCAATGGAATATGTGCCAAGTCACTTTACTAGCGTCTGACTCATTACTACCCTGGGGACTGTAGCCCACCAGCTTCCTCTGTCCATGGAATTCTCCAGGCAAGAACACTGGAGTGGGTTGCCATTTCCTCCTCCAGGGGATCTGCCCCACCCAGTCACTGAACCCAGGTCTCTTATGTCTCCTGCATTGGCAGGCAGGTTCTTTATCACTAGCACCACCTGGGAAACCTATCTATGGAATGTAACTTGGCAATAAAAAGGAATAAAGAACTGGTAACACTACAACATGATGAACCTTGAAAACGTTATACTAAAAGAAAGAAGTCAGTAATAAAAGACCACATATTGTATGACTCCATTTTACATGAAATGTCCAGAACAGACAAATTTAGAGAGAAAATGGATCACTGGTTGCCTAAGACTAGGGGAACTGAGGAGGAAATACAGAATAATTGCTAATGGGTAGGGATTCCTTTTGGGGATAACAAAAATATTCTGAAATTGTGGTGATGGTTGCCTAACTTTTAAAGTACTAAAAACCATTCCACTGTATATTTTTAAAAGGTGAACTGTATGGTATGTAACATATCACAGTAACACTTTAAAAAATCTGAGAAAAATTCACACACAAATGCAAACTGAATAGTGTCACTGAATGTTAATATAAATCGATATGATTTAATAAAATGTAACCAAGCTAAAAATTCTATTTAAAAGGTACCCCAAAAAATTTCTTTCATTTCTATTCATTCTATTTAACAAGAGGAAATAAAGTCTGAAAGAGGTTTATTAACATAAGGATTTAAAAAAAAAAAGGTGTTGCTGAGGCCTGAACGTTTAAGTTTTCTGACACTTTCCCCTTTATGGTTTTCTCAGTCCACCAATTATGTATGTAACATTTTGAAACCTAGCCACGAAGAAATAAAATGTCGGGGTGCAGGAGGCAAATAATGATGCTTATTTTTTTCAGAGGAACGTCTTTGTAAAATTCGAACTTGCATTATCTATCACTAACTGAGCCCTCGCGCGGCAGGATTTATAATTTCTCAATATTTCCCACTTTGAAACTTTCTTCAATTCTACAGAATGAAAGATGTCTAGTCCCTGGGCACTCCTAGCCTACACTGAAGTAAAACAATTCCAAGAAAGCATTTTTCAAATCCTCTGGCTAAAGCAAAACCATTAAAAAGCTGTATATTTCTTCCTCCTCGGGAAACTGGTCGTTTAGCGACCAACAAGATTGGTAAGACTTCGTCCAAGCTGTCAAGGAGGCACACCCCCACCACCATTTAAAGTGCCCGGAGACTCTGGGAGAAGTGTCCCAGAATGGCACAGAAATGCCGGGGTCCAGGAAGAGGGAGGAAAGAGCCGGTGAAGCGTCGCGTGGGACCCAAGGCCTGAGACTGGAAGAGACCTTCCGGGACTTCCCATCTTCAGAAGGCTGAGTCTGGGGTCACTCATGCTGCCGGACCGCGAGGTCAGCGGGCGCTGCTGCGTGCGCCGTACGGCCCAAAGAAAGGGAAGGGGGCGCAGGCGCCCTGAAAAGATGTGACGAAGCTGCGCACTCACGAAACGCTGGTAGAAGCGGACCAGCCGCGGCTTCCTGTGGTTATTGAAAACCAGAATCGCCTGAATCATCTTTGTCTGCCACGCTCCTTTCACCACCGGCTGCTTCCAGAGAGCCTCTCCTTCCGCCACAACAAGGAAGCTTCCGGCTGGTGCGCTGCTGAGAGTGGTCCCCGGAAACATGTCCTGGCGCCCAGAGGCCTGACCACGAAGAGTCCGGCTTCCCGGCAAGCCTTGGAGGAAAGCTGTCTAGGATGGGTGGCTGGCTGGCGGGGGAAAGGCTGCTGCCGACACTGAGTTTGGGGAAGGCCGTCATCTTGGCTGGCGTTGGTTGCCCACTCAGGGCCTGGCCAGGACACGAACCCAGCTCTCTGCCCTTTGTCTAGAACGACTGCTTTCCGCCGAATCCCGGCCCCGCGCAAAGCCGAGCCCGTCGGAAAAGGATGGGATGGAGAAGCAGAAACCGCAAAAGCAGCTGCGCCCCCAGGTGAAGACCTCCCTTTATCGTGGTCTGTGTTAAAACACACGGTCATGCCTTTCGCTTGACACTGCAGAACGTTTCGAAAATTAGGGAACATCTTTACTTTTTAGTATTACAAACAGTGCCGTAGTGAATTACATATGTGCCTCCTCGTGCAAAACGGCTGTCTCTCCATGGTAGATAGCGAATGGTGGAATTAAGGGATCTTTAATGCAATTCCTTTTAAAAGGTACCTGCGACCCCAAATTGGTAGGGTTTGTATTTTAATACCTTAGTGGGGGGTGAGTGGAGCACGTCCTTATATTGCAGACAGAGCTGCAAATGGGAATTAACCTGCCCAAAGGACAGTTGACGATATGTATAAAAAAGCCTTTAAAATATATTGAACATTAGACCCAGCATTTGCAGCTTAGAATTTATAATAAAAGGACTGTGGATGTGTGAAAAGATTTAGCCTCAGGAACATGCATCTCAGCAGTCTTATTTCTGGGGAAATGGGAAGCAACAACTCATTATTCAAATGAGAAATTGGTTAAATGCATTGATCCACGTGCATATGAGAAATATTAAAGTTATAAAAAAATCATGTTGTGAAAGGTTTATGGTCTACGGAAATGTTCATGGCATAGCTGTAAGTGGAAAGATTACACGAAGTATATACAGGGACACCGTACTTTTTGTAAAAGACTAGAAGTATATACCCCAAAGGGCTTGCCTGGTGGCTCAGTGGTTAAGAATCCACCTGCCAAGCAGGAGAGGCAGGTTTGATCCCTGGGTGGGGAAGATGCCCCGGGGGCTAAAAATGGCAATCCACTCCAATATTCTTGCCTGGGAAATTCCATGGACAGAGGAGCCTGGCGGACTACAATCCATGAGGTCGAAGAGTTGGACATGACTTAGCAACTAAACAGCAGCATCAGCATAGCTATTAACATATAAAATTTTTATGTTTGTAAATCAGTTTTTTAATGGAAAAGTTTTTAAAACATGGAAAATGGTTATATTTAAAATATAACTGACCAACCCAAAAGACCTTCCCCCTCAGTAATAAATGGGCAAAGGAACTGAATAACAAACAAGGATATACATCTAGGAAACAAAGATGAAAAATATAATTAATCTCACTATTAATGGGGGAAAAGGCTAATTAAAGTATTAACTTTAAAATTAAAGTATTATTTTCACCTTGTCAATATCAATTGTTAAAATATTATCACATCCAAATCTGCCAAGAGTAGCATGAAAATAGTCCTTTTCTGCCTTGCTGGTGAGATAATTTAGTAAAGCAATCTGGCAATATGACAAGATCTTTACAAAGAATTCCTAGATTTCCAGTAATCTAACTCCTGGGAATCCATCCCTAAGGAAATAACCCCCAAAATATAGTCAGGGAGGAGGGGTAGGCAGGTGAGAGAACTGTGTAGCCTAAAATAGTTTTTGACACAGCTCCAAATAGGGATCAGTTAATTACCAAATTTTGGAAAATGACAGAACTATTCAGGCTGCTTCTGCTGTTTAGTTGCTTCAGTCCTGTCCAGGATCCTCTGTCCATAAGATTCTCCAGGCAAGAATACTGGAGTGGGTTGCCATGACCTCCACCAGGGGCTCTTCATTAAGGCAATCAATCTTAAAAACAATGGTATGAAGACTATGTAACAATATAGACAATGGTTATATAACATCAGTTGAAAAAGGATTATCAAATTTTATGTGTTGGTATAATAGTGCAGTAAGCATGTACAGAAATTGTATATTCCAAGGTCAGGCCACTCCCCTATCTCCATGGCTTTGTAGGCCCTCTTCTCTTGCTGCAAAGTCCCTTTCCACCTGCCTCAGTATCTTCCCATCTCCCCTGCTGCTGCTGTAGACCAGATCACTCTAGGCTTTCACCCCCGCCACGGCATCAATCTCCTATCTGGGCTCATTCCCTTCAGTTTCTCTGCAGTCAAGCAATCTTTGAAATATACAAATCAGATCATATTACTCTCCCTGGGATCACTGGCTGCCAAGATATTAAGGATAAAGTCCCAAAACATCAACACTTAACATGCTGAAGATGCCATGCCTGACCTCCAGCCTCTCCTCCAACGCAGTTCCACTCCCATCACTCTCAGAGCTCCAGCCATGATGGCCTTTTCCTTCCAGAAGCCTGTCCCCAACCTGCTGAGACCCCGGAGCCTAGCTGTTGCCCCCCGGCTTCCCCGATTGAGACACTGTGCCTGCTTATTTAGGATGGTGGCCCGCCCACAGAAGCTTGCCCTACCCTTTGGGCATCAGGATGCCCTCCCTGGGTGCCTCTCCCCAAGTCAGTGTCCCCAGTCCTCCTCCTGTTCAAGCCCTCCCTGGCCACCGCATGCTTGAGGTCTCAGCATGCTCAATGGTGAGCCAGCCCCATTCAGGCACAGGACACTAGGGAAGCGGCTTCTACAGTAGCCGGAATGAGAGAACAAGATGTGAACTGAGACAAGGGCAGCAAGAACAGAAGAGACCCAGGAACGCTCCAGCCACCTGTAACTTTGGTCAGTCTAAATGAAGTGTTAATCCCAAGCCTCACAGCCATATTGTTGAGCCTAGGCTCAGATATACAGGAAGGCAAATGACAGGTTGAACCATAATACATGCTGGGACCTCAACCATGAAAACCATATGAAAAAAAATGGAGATAATAATCACTTGTGCCTCTCGGGATGGTTGTAACAAGTAAAACACTGCAAGTGCTTGGCACAAGTACTAGAACCAAGAGGCCCTCTGCAGTCAGTGACTATAATTATCATCACGGAAAGCATCTAGTGTTGTGTTTGACCCATTAGGGTACTTCGTTAGTTTACCACCACCCCCTTTTCCCTGAGGCAAGCAGGACCTACATTCTAAGTCCCTACCCATTTTTAGGATATGTAGATTTCAACACCTGATCTCTTCATCGATGTGGATGTGGGCACATTACCCCACAAGATAATGTTCATGATCAAAAGCATATGGCTTTTATAACTTCCCTGATGGTCCAGTGGTTAAGACTCTGAGCTTCCAATGTAGCGGATGTTGGTTCGATCCCTGGTCGGGGCACTAAGATCCCACATGCTGCGTGGTGTGGCCAAAAAAAAAAAAAATATATATGGCTGTCTTCTTATAGGGAGGTTGCTCAGTTTATACCTAATAATAAAACAGTCAGTGTAGAGGAATCCTTTCCTGAAATTTTACTCATTCATAAAAAATTCTCAAGGTACAAAACAAGAAAAAAAGGTGTTATCCAAAATGTGGCCTGTGGCCTGGTGGAGGGAGTCAGAGAGGAGACCAGCTGGCCATACCTATGAACGAGCTCAGCCTCTATAAAAAGATCATCCCCAGGAAAACAGCCGAGGGAGATCGGGAGACAGGAACCCCAAAGGTAGCAGAGAACCAGAGGAAGAGAAAGAACTGGCAGTTCTGGGGGCCGAGAAGGGCATGAGGGGAGAGGAGGCTTGAGCAGGAGGACAGAGGCCCCTAACACAGAGGACTGGGGAGGAGGGCAGCTGCAGGACGAAAGCAGGAAATAGGACAGAAGGAGGAGGCCCCGCTAACTTCTCGGAGCCATTCTGCATACAGATGAGGGATTTCCCCCCAGTTCTGCAGCAAGTCCAGATCTTCTGATTGCCCCAGGGGGGCTTGCCCCCTGCCTGCCTCCACAAACAAGGCTGCCGCTCAGGGCAAGGGCCACCATGAAAATGTCTGGGGAAGGCTAGACTCACATCCAGGGAGGGACCCTCCACGAGCCACAGCCTTGTGCCCCACGGTTAACATCGGGGCCTTAGATTTGATTTTAGCAGAGCTTGTTCGAAGAGTATATTCCACAGCGGCTGTAGGGAAGAACCAGGTAAGGTTTGGTGGACCTGGTCCCCTGAGCTTCAGAGTGAAAGTTGATGGAAGAAATGCTCAATGGTGCCAGTGGGTCCTGGAGGTACCCCATCTCTCCTTGACCTCAGTCATCCTAGAGGTAAAGAGAGATGAACAGTATATTTCATAAACGTCTTCTATTGTCATCAAACAAGTGTTCTATCAAGTGGTACTGGTCAAGCCCTCGGCTACCTGCCTTGGCCTCATCTTGGCCCAGGGAGCCAGCTTGGTAATTCCCATTATTTGATAGTCCAAGACTCACTTTATTAAGACAAAAGGGAATCCATTTTCTCTATCTGCCCTGTTTTCTCTGGCTAATGTCTTCACTTCATCAGCCAGATAGCCCATTTTTCTGAGACTTGGTTTTAAATGTTCAATTTGGGAGTCTTTTGACATCAGTTCAAATCTTTGGGTGAAATACAGCTCAAAAAACCAAATCAACTGTGAATCGGTTAAGGATCAACTAGGGGGCTGACCTTTTGAGCCAAAAAAGCTTTTAAGGTCCAAGTCAGCCATCTTCCAGCCACTCTGGGCAGGAAGCCCAGAACAGAGTTGGGGGGAAATGTTCATTCAGTGGCTCAACACGGCTAATGTATTCACTTGAAGTGGAAATGTTTGGAGCCTTCCTGGCATTAAGTCTCCTTGGTTCCCCTCTGTGCTCCCTTTTTCTGTCCCTTACTTTTATAAATCTGTGGGGCTCTCTTGTTGATTGGCACAGTTCAGGCCCACCAAGAAGAAAGGTCCCTTCATACCTTGAGGGGCTTTTCATCAGGCTCACACTCAGGAATTCCACCAAAGCTGGGAGTAAAGTTAAGTTGCTGTCTCTTTCTCCTACCACCCAGCCACAACCAGTCCATACAAAACTCCTGCCAAGAGATAAACCACACCAACACCTGGTCCACGGTCATCTCCCTGGACCTACCCACTCCTCATCCTCTGCGCCATCCCCCTGCTCTCGGGTCTCAGTTGCAGCCCCCCCTGAAGACTTTTGGGCCATGATGTTGTCCGTCCAGGATGCTCCCGTCTTCCCATCTCCAGCGAAATTACACTTGGTCACTGTTCCAGCCTCGAGTTTGGCTAATGAATCTGAAAGCAGAAGTTCAGAATTCCCTCATACTCTCCTCCTTTCCCTCAGAATTCCCTCATTATGTCTTGCCTCTCTCCATGTGGTGGAAACCTAGCGGGGCCCGGCCCTTCTGCTGGGGTCCTCTAGGCTTGAGGGTGCTCAGGGAGCCCGTGGAGGGGACCCCAGATAGGAGAGGTCACCCACAGGAACCAGAGGATTGAGCAGCACCCCAGGATCCAGAACATCCAGGCTGTTGCCCCCCAGGCCACTTGTCCAGGGAACTGAGGAATCAATCTCAAGAAGTCATGTCTGCAGGGAGGCCGGACCTGACCTGCTCTGTGAGCCCTAAGCAGGAGGGGTGGGGGGCCCTCAGGCAGGAAGCCAGGAGCCCCCACAGGCCATACAGGGGCATCAGGCCACAGCGAGGGCTGCACTGCTCACCCAGGAAGGGGCTGTCGCCTCGAGTTTTCAGCCGTACCCCAGCCCCGAGTTCGAGCTCCATGGCCTCCACCTCTGACTCGGGCATCCAGAAGGCTACTGTCTCAGCGGGGGTGAGGCTGTCTGTCAGCGCAAGCAGCTCCGGCTTATTCACCAGCCCCTTCAGCGCCTCGAGCGTCAGTCTGTCCGAGTCACCCTTGGCTTCCACCTCTGCAGTGTAAATGTGAAGTGTGCGATAAATGCTCTCTGCCAGCTGTCCCCCTGGGCTTCCACCAGCACGAGGTGGTCGTTACCACTTAACAGCAAGCACCCTGGGAGGGCTCTTCAGAAGCCAGCTGAGGGCTGACTGCTGTACCTGCTCACAAACACCCGCACTCCCATCCTGCCCCTGCTCATTAAGGAGTGCATGCAGGGGATTATGGGTAAGGGCTCTGGAGCCAGGCTGCCTGGCGCACATCTGCTTTACATGCTGTGTGACCACAGGCAAGCTACTTAACCTCTCTGTGCCTGACAAACAGGGTGAAACATGGTACCTACCCGATGGGACTGACACAAGGTATAAAAGAAAGATCTAGTGTATATAAAATGCTTAGCATGAGGCCCAGCACACTGCAAACCCTCAGCAGGCATCAGTGTTTTTACTGTCCCTATTTACAAATGAGAAAACTAGGGCTTAGAGAGGTTAAGTAATTTGCCCAAGGTTACACAGCTAGTCAGCGGACGAGGCAGGATTCAAGCCCTTCACACAATTCTGCCGTCCCAGGGACCAGGCAGAGGTCTCCCCTGGCTGGGATGGGGTCTGCTGGAACCAGCAGCAAACTTGGATGGTCCTCAGATTCTCTACTGGCCTGTTTATCCTGGCCTGGGCAGAGCGCAGGGGCTCAGCCAGGGTCCCAACAGCCTCTCACTGCCTACCCTGGAAGTCCCAAATCTGCTGATCTCAGCTTGGGGGTGGGGAGAATGATCCCACCAGACTGCAGGAGACGGGAGACACTGGGAAGGCACCAGGCCCTCAGCACTGAGGCAGGGCACTGGGGACCCTCTGAGTGTACGGAGGGCAGGAAGAGTCCAGCCAGATGGCCCTCAGACCAGACACCGACTTCAATCATGCTGAGAAGACACCTTCTGGCGCCTAAGAAACCTCTGGAGGCAAAGGAAGGCCACAGTGAAGGATGGCCCTGGGGGAGGAAGGGCAGGGGGTACCTACTGTAAGAGGACATGAGGAAGCCCGTGTTCACCTTCCTGGTGGCGCTGAAGTTGGGCTCAATTTCGTTTCCCTTGGGGTCGAACTTACGGCGATGGATGCGACTCGGCCGGATATACAGCACGTAGTAGCGCTCCTGGGGCCAAGCAGAGAGAGAATGAGGGGCTGTTCACTCCCTTCACCCCACAACACACACACTCCCCACATGCTCTGGCTGCAACCCCCCAGCCTCACTCTCTACCCTAGAATCCCACCTTGGCTCCAAAAGGTATTCAAGCTGGCCAGATGGCCCCCACTCCCAATATTCATTCATTCATTCACATGTTTAGTAGAGCATGTGCCACACGTGATGAACCATGGCTACACGTCCATAAGAGGGCAGGTTCAGAGCCCAACCCCACAGCCTCCACATGGTCAGAGCCAGAAAGAATAGAAAACCATAACCCAAGGACCCCAAATACCACGAAGCAGGAGAAGTAGCAGCCAAGATGCCACAAAAAGGGCACTGAAATGGAGTTCTGAGTGAGGACTGCCACTGTTCCCCTTCCAACAAATGTGGGTTCTGCAGCAGCATGTGACGCTTAGCCTCAGTTTCCCCTGTTGCCTGGAGACAACGCGAGGTCTACTTTCAGGCATGTTGTAAGGATTCAAGAGAGAACAAAGGAGCAAGCACAGTGTAAACATGAAGTGTGCCATACATGCTGTCTGCCAGCTGTCCTAATCAAAACAGGAGACGACAACGTTGTAAGTCAAATATACATCAAGAAAATTTTAAATAAACACTATAATCCAAAACAAAAACTAGAGATTGAAGAAGAGGAACCCACCACCTGGGACAAACAAGGAACAAGTTCTCATGGTGTGGAGAAACCTGCAACTGTGCGAGGAAGGGTGTAGGAAGGATTTTAAAGGCCTGGACAGGTACAGAAAAGGCAAGGTCCCATGGACGTCTGAACAACGGAGGGGCCTTGGAAGCCTCATGGGAGTCTGAGCTGCAGAAGCACACGGGGGATGATGTAAGACAGGCCTTGAGTTGGCATCTGGAGTTTGGGTTTTACATGGCGGCACAGAGGGAATCCTGAAAGGTTTCTGAACAGCACCTAGACTATGACAGATGTCTTTGAGGAGACCAGCAGGCTGCAGGGCAGGGATGGGCGCCAGGTGCAGCCAGAAGGCAGGAGAGGAGATGCAAGGTTTAATCAGGACAGGCTGAGTTCCTAAGGGCCCATGTGGGGACATGGAAGGCGGGGTGTGACATCATCAAGGTAGGAAACCGGTAGGACCAAGCATTACTCACTTAGGGGCGCGGGGGAGGAGACTGGAGGCTTGCATGCTGGTGGTCGCGGGCATATAGTGATTGTCATTAGGAACAAGGAACGAGGAGGCGGAAGGTTTGGAGAGGGACTGGAGAACACCCTGCAGAGGACAGCCGGGGCAGTCCAGCCCCACATCAGCTCCTGCTGGGCAGGCTGGCTGGGGTTATAGACTGGGGTGCTCATTCTGCTGACCCCCGTGCTAAGGAAGGGAGGGCGAAGCAAAGCATTTCCTGGCCTGAAACTAATGCTGAGCTGGAAGCTGAGGGTTCACGAGGGGTGTGGGTGAGAAACTGGCTCCAGGTAGCTGCAGGCCTCTGGAACTTGCTGAGCTCAGGTCTAGAGATCAAGGAGATAAGTGGGTCAGTACATCTGGGTGGGGTTATTTGGAAGGGGGGAGGGATACAGATTTAGAACTTGTTGTTCAGTTGCTAAGTTGTGTCTGACTCTTTGTAACCCCATGGACTGCAGCACACCAGGCTTCCCTTCCTTCACCATCTCCCAGAGTTTGCTCAAACTCATGTCCATTGAGTTGGTGATGCTATCTAACCATCTCACACTGTCACCCCCTTCTACTCCTGCCCTCAATATTTCCCAGCATCAGGGTCTTTTCCAGTGAGTAGGGTCTTTTCCAGTGAGTTGGCTCCTCGCATCAGGTAGCCAAAGTTATGGAGCTTCGGCTTGAACATCAGTGCTTCCAATGAACATTCAAGGTTGATTTCCTTTAGGATTGACTGGTTTGATCTCCTTGCAGTCCAAGGGACTCTCAAGAGTCTTCTTCAGCACCACAGTTTGAAAGCCTCAGTTCTTCAGCACTCAGCCTTCTTTAAGATCCAACTCCTACATCCATACACTACTGGAAAAACCATAGCTTTGACAATATGGACCTTTGTCAGCATAGTGATGTCTTTGCTTTTTAATATGCTGTCTACGTTTGTCATAGCTTTTCTTCCAAAGAGCTTTTCAGAACTAGTGCTCAGGAAAGTAACCCTTGCTAGTAGGGGATGGTGAATGCGAGCCAGATGTGTTCATGGATACCTGAGATGGGGGATGATAAATCAGGGTGTGACACCAGGAGGCTGAGAGGACAAGAAGAGAAGGGCATGGACGGGGGACTAGAAGCCCCAGGTGGTATCAGCAAGGCAGACTTCACATTTGAGCTGGAAACAAAGGCCCAGAATACAGCAACCCTCCTCCCACCTCAGGGCTCCACACTCATGCATACGCGAATGTCCAGGTCCACACTGGTGACCTGCTTTATAAAAATCCAACATTCCAGAACACCCAGCCACACAGGGACATTAAAAGGTGAGCAAGGGAATTCCCTGGCGGCACAATGGTTAGCACTCCGTGCTTCCACTGCAGGGAACCCGGGTTTGATCCCTGGTCGGAGAACTAAAATCCCCGCAAAATAAGCTATACATGGACCCCCCCAAAAAAAAAAAAAAAAAAGGATGCGAAAGCCCTGCTAAGATATTCACCATTCTGCAAATGGAGTTGCTTCAGGGCTCCTTCTGAAAGCAAACTCCAACAGTACATTTAAAATAATTCAACTCAAAACAACTCAAGGTACACATGATTTCCCAGCCACACAGCTGGTACCCCAAAGGAGAAGGTCACTCGCACATATATAGGCAGGTAACTTTGCTCTGACCTTGTTCATCAGGTCTGGAAACAGTGGGAACCACCAGACCAGAGCAGAGGGGCCAGGCCCTCAGCCCAGAGCCACTCATCCTGCCTACCCAGAGAAGTTCCCAGCATTCCAATTCTGTTCCATCAGGAGACAGGACCTCTTCAGACGGCCTTCCAGCCCACTCAGAACCCACAGCTTGAGTCCTGAACCACTGACCTCACCCCATCTGCTCTCAGCCCTCCCAGTCCCGCCCCAAACACACCCCGTTTAGGGCCTCGTCTGTCTTCTCATCAAGAACCCAGTCCCCACCCTCCACCCCCAACCCTGGTCTGTCTGCCACCCAGCACAGCCCTATTGATCCCTTCCATCCGTGGCCCCTTTTGGTTGCCAATCTCATAGTCAACCCTTTACCTGCCCTGTGAGCCCCACAAGGAAAGAGCTGGACCCCAAGTCTTGGCACTGGCAGAGCCAAACAGAGGGAGGTACCCTGGTGGGTGGGAACCCTGAAGCCAGTGCCCTGAGGGCGCCCCCTGGGAAACATCCTCACCTTCCTGCCGTGGGCATCCGAGATGCTGTGCCGGGATACATCGAGCAATTCTCCCTCCAGCAGGACACCATCTCCCCTGAGGATGAGAGAGGATGAGGGCTTCACTGGTTCTGTAGTCCCCAGGAAAGAACCACAAGTGCAATGGCCCCACCTGCAGGGCATTACTGCAACCAGAGCCTCAGTCTTCAAATCCGCCAAAGAAGAGTAACAGCCACCTCACTCACTTCTATGAGGGTGACATACGACTACATATGTGAAGGTGCTTTGTAAACTATTAAGCGTTTACAAAATATAAAGAACTTTACTTTTTTACTTAACCAAATTTGGGGGTGGGGTTCTAAGGTCTAAGCTGCTATAAAGTATCTTCCCTTTACACCCGTTTTAAAGCACTTTCATATTTCTGTTCTCCTTATCCATTTTTAGAATGGAGAAACCCAGACTCAGGAGTTTCCTGAGAAGCCCAAGGTCACAGGATTCCTCATTGAGAGGAACTGGACCCTCCCTTCCCAATTCCAGTTTTCACAAAAGCAGAACCTAGGGACTTCCGCCTTTGGAACCATGGAAATGGGAGAGGGGTGGGGGCAACTGAAGGGATGGGAATGAAATGAAACCTCCCTGGACCTTACCTGTCCCTACCCACCCCCCTTAAGCCCTTCATTCTTTGGTGGTGGTTGTTGGTTGTTCAGTGGCTAAAGTCGTGTCCGACCTTTGGCGACCCCATGGACTGCAGCACGCCAGGCTTCCCTGTCCTTCACCATCTCCCCGAGTTTGCTCAAACTCCTTTCTTTGGGTTTGGCCATTGCAAATGGAATGGTCCATTCGTTCTCATAACCTCCGCGTCCATAATGGCAGGGCTGGGCCCTCATGATACAACACGCCTCCGGGCAGGCCTTGCGCTCCCCCAACCCTTCCAGGCCGACTCCCACCCGCTGTCCACGTCCCTAAGGACACTGTCCTGCTGGAGCTGGGGGGCAGCCTGTGCAAAGGCCTGAAGACAAGGCAAGGGCAAGTGGTGGCGCGTGGAGTCAGCGGGGCGGGGTAGAGACAAAGGTGGAGGTGAATAAGCACCGCCTTTTGAGAGCCGTTTGGGAGTTGAGACCGACCGTCCGTGAGCGTCACGCCGATCGGTGTCTCCGAGGTGCGTTCCGAGGGGAGCACTGTGAGAGACGATCCCGAGGCCCTGGAGGTCTTCGGAGAGCCCCGCCTTTCTTCCCACCCCCACCCCAACCCCCGCGCGCAATCAGGGAGCCCGGATTCAAAGCAGATGCTCGCGAGCCGACGGAGGCCGGGCCGGGAGGCGGTGGGGAGACGCGGGCGGAGCCTACCGCTGGTGGGCGGCGGGGTCCCAGGGCCCCGGCAGCCGCGCGCTCCGCACCGCCTTGTTGCGGAGGGCGCTATCGTGGTAGATGCGGCTCATCCTCCCCACGGCCGCGGCGCGCTCGAGGGCTGGCGAACCGAGCGGGTACACAGGGCTGGGGCAGCGCGAGGGGAAGCTTCCGGAGGACGCGCGGAGGCCGGCAATTCCCGGCGGCCGATCCGGGGCTGCGCGGCCCGGCCCCGGGCGTTCCCGCGCGGGATTTAAAGGGGCCGAGCCCCATTCCTGTTCGCAGGACCTTGCTTGGTGGGAAGTGGGCTTCCGGGAGGACCGGGCTGGGGCCTTAGCCCGGAGGTAGGGGTGGGATGAGGGAGAGAGCCACTCTCTTCTCTTTTCTTTCCCTCGTCCTTTTTACTAGTGGGAGGCCCCTACTCCCTCCATGCACAAATGGGGAAATCGAGGCTCAGAGAGCCCATAGGATCAGCTCTGATAGGATGCGTTTCCAGAGAGCAGAAATAGGAAAAAGGGAACGGCCCCTGAGGCGGCTCGGTGAAGAGTGCCTTCCTGCTCTTTTTGCCCAGGTGAGGTCTACAGTGGCCGAGGGAGGGGTTCTTGGGATCTGTCACGAAGGAGCCTAGGCTTGGGTGTCAGATCAGCTGACCTGCCAAGGCTGGAATCCGTGCTGTGTGAGCTTGGGCAAGTGCCTCAACCTCTCTGAGCTTCTTACTCTGTGAAACGGGGCCAAATCAGAGGGGTTGTAAGGGTTTAATGACTTCCCTGGTGGCTCAGTGGTAAAGAACCCTGCGCCAATGCGGGACACGCAGATTCGATCCCTGAATTGGGAGGATCCCCTGGAGAAGGAAATGGCAACACGCTCCAGTATTCTGGCCTGGAGAATTCCATGGACTGAGGAGCCTGGCGGGTCCTGCAGTGCACAGGGTCGCAAAGTGTCTGACGCTACTGAGCGACTAAGCACGCACGCTGTGCACTGCTATGTATAAAATAGATAACTAGCGAGGACTTACTGTAGAGCAGAGGGAACTCTCGGCAATATTCTAATGACCGGCGTAGAAAAAGAATCTCAAAAAGAGTGGCTAGATGTGTATGTGAACTGGTTCACTTTGCCGTACACCTGAAACTAACACAACATTGTAAATCAACTATACTCCAATAAAAATTTTTTAAAAAATAAAATTTGTCACTAAACCAAAATCACATAGCTGGTAAATAAAATCAGTTTTCAAACCGAAAAAACAAAAATTCCCCAGGCTGATGTAAGGAACTCACATAACTCAATAGAAAAGTCGAGGGAGATGATTTTTAAAAATAGGTCAATGAACTAAATAGATATTTCTCCAAAGAAGACATACAGATGGACAAAAGATGTATGAAAACCGGCTCAGTATCACTAATGATCAGAAAAACACAAACCAAAACCACAATAAGATATCACCTCACACCTGTTAGAATGGCTATTAACAAAAAAAAAAAAGGTAAGTGTTAGCAAGGATGTGAAGAAAAGGGAACCCTTGTATGGCATTGATGGGAATGTAAATTGGTACAGCCACTATGGAAGACATTATGGAAGTTTCTCATGAAATTAAAAAGAAAACCACCAAGGATCCAGCAATCTCACTTCTGGGTATATGCACAAGGAAACTGAAAGCAAGACATCAAAGGAATGTCCACATGCCCATGTTTCTTTCACAACAGCCAAAAAGTAGAAGCAACCTAAATGTCCATCAGTGGATGAATGGAAAAGGAAAATGTGGTATATGCATACTATGGAATATTATTTGGGTTGGAAAAAAGAAGGAAAGCCTGCCATTTGCCGCAAAATGGATGAACCTAGAAATGAAAGAAGCCAGGTACAAAAAGACAAGTAGTGCATGATCTCATTTACATGGGGAATCTAAAATAATCAGACTCATAGAAGCAGAGAGTGGAGAGGCTGTCAGGGTCTGAAAGGGGGAGGGAGAAACAGGCAGGTAGTAGTCAAAGGGCACAGTGTTTTAGGTGTACAAGATGAATAATACCTGGAGATCTATAACTACAAGGTGCCTATAGTTAACAATATTGTGTTATATACTTAAACATTAACTGTGGGTAGATCTTACACTGAATGTTCTTACACACACACAAACACACGCACACTACAAAATAATAAGAAGACTTGAGGAAACTTGGAGATGACAGTGTTTACAGCATAGCTTGTAGTGATGGTTTCATGACTGTATACTTATCTCCAAGCTCATGAGGTGTATACCTTAAAATTGTACAGCTTTTTGTATGTCAGTCATACCTGGGGACTTCCTGGTGCTCCAGTGGTTAGGACCCTGTGCTTCCAATGCAGAGGACTCAGATTCAATCCCTGGTCAGGGAGTTAAGATACCACATGCTGCACCAAGGGGCAACAAACAAACCTGAATAAAATGATTTAAAAAACAAACCAACCAAAATATTCTCAGGTTGGTCACAGCCCCATGGCCAGAATACCGCCCCCCCCCACCTCCTTCCCCTTTCTGTATCATTTTTTTCCTTAAATGGCTCCAAATCTTCATGGCCTTTTATGGGAGCCACTAGCTATATGTGGCTATTTAAATTTAAATTTTAGTTCAGTGCAATCGCTCAGTCATGTCTGACTCTTTGCAACCTCATGGACTGTAGCACGCCAGGCTTCCCTATCCATCACCAACTCCCGGAGCCTGCTCAAACTCATGTCCATCGAATCAGTGATGCCATCCAACCATCTCATCCTCTGTTGTCCTTTCTCCTCCTGCTCTCAATCTTTCCCAAAATCAGGGTCTTTTGAAATGAGTCAGTTCTTGCATCAGGTGGCCAAAGTATTGGAGTTTCAGCTTCAACATCCATCCTTCCAATGAATATTCAGGACTGATTTCCTTTAGGATGGACTGGTTGGATCTCCTTGCAGTCCAAGGGACTCTCAAGAGTCTTCTCCAACACCACAGTTCAAAAACATCAATTTTTCGGCACTCAGCTTTCTCAGCATACTTTGAGCATACTTTCTGAGCAACTCTCACATCCATACATAGCTACTGGAAAAAACCATACATAACTTTGACTAGATGGACCTTTGTTGGCAAAGTAATGTCTCTGCTTTTTAATATGCTGTCTAGGTTGGTCATAGCTTTTCTTCCAAGGAGTAAGCATCTTTTAATTTCATGGCTGCAATCACCATCTACAATGATTTTGGAGCCCAAGAAAATAAAGTCTCTCACTGCTTTCATTGTTTCTCCATCTTATTACCATGAAGTGATGGGACTGGATGCCATGATCTTAGTTTTTTGAATGTTGAGCTTTAAACCAGCTTTTTTTTTTCCATTTATTTTTATTAGTTGGAGGCTAATTACTTTACAACATTGCAGTGGTTTTTGTCATACATTGAAATGAATTAGCTATGGATTTACATGTATTCCCCATCCCGGTCCCCCCTCCCACCTCCCTCTCCACCCGATCCCTCTGGGTCTTCCCAGTGCACCAGGCCTGAGCACTTGTCTCATGCATCCAACCTGGGCTGGTGATCTGTTAAACCAGCTTTTTCACTCTCCTCTTTCACTGTCATCAAGAGGCTCTTTAGTTCCTTTTCACTTTCTGCCATAAGGGTGGTATCATCTGCATATCTGAGGTTATTGATATTTCTCCCAGCAATCTTGATTCCAGCTTGTACTTCATCCAGTCTGGCATTTCGCATTATGTACTCTGCATATAAGTTAAATAAGCAAGGTGACAACATACAGCCTTGAAACACTCCTTTCCCAATTTGGAACCAGTCTGTTGTTCCATGTCCAATTCTAACTGTTGCTTCTGGGTCTGCATACAGATTTCTGAGGAGGCAGGTAAGGTGGTCTTATATTCCTATCTCTTTAAGAATTTTCCACAGTCTGTTGTGATCTACACAGTCAAAGGCTTTGGCGTAGTCAATAAAGCAGAAGTAGATGTTTTTCTGGAATTCTGTTGGTTTTTCTATGTTCCAACGGATGTTCGTAATTTGACCTCTGGTTCCTCTGCCTCTTCTAAATCCAGCTTGAACATCTGGATTTTTTAGTTAATTAAACCTAAACAAAATGTAAAGTTCAATTCTTCAGTCTCACTAGCTACATTTCAAGGGCTTAAAAGCTAGCACCATGTGATCAATGACTACCATGTAGGACAGTTCTGATAAGAACCTTTCCATCATTGCAGAAAGTCCTATTAGACTGCACTGTTGGAAATCCTTTCTTAGGAAGGGTAATCTGCTTATTGAGCTCTGTGACTTCATCCCATCAGCAGTCAGCTGACCACGCACCAGCAGGACGGGGAACCAAAAAGAACAAGAAAAAAAAATGTATTTTAAGTTCTGATATTTGTTTCCTAAAAAAGCATCAGTCATCATGGGGGAAAAAAAGAGCTTCGTTGGACTTTCTTACAACTATTTGTGGGTTATCAATGACTCTATATTAAATTATAGACCATGAGGTACAGCATAAGGATTCTGAGGTGGCTCAGTGGTAAAGAATGCACCTGCCAAGTCAGCAGACTCATGTTCAATCCCTGGGTTGGAAAGATCCCCTGGAGGAGGAAATGGCAACCCACTCCAGTATTCTTGCATGGATAATTCCATGGACAGAGGCACTGGCAGGCTACAGTCCATGGGGTCGGAAGCAGTCGGACACAACTGTGCACACACAAGGTACAACATAGAGATAGTTTAAGTTTCCTCAGTTCCATGGTCTCTTTTAAGGAGGGTTTGAAGTTCCCTAACAAGGTGTTCACGTGGGTATCTGCTTTTGTTTTCATAGGTAAGAAGGCAATTTTGGTGTAGTCAATTAAGAACACTACCTCCTTTTGCCCAAATTTTTATTTGCCTTATGTCAGATAATGGAGTGAAAGCTGACATGAGATACATCTAGTTTGGGTTTTGTAGAATAAATTTATGTGGTCTGTAGTCCTTCCCACCTATAATTCAATTTTCGACAGCTGTCCTGGTGTAGGAGTGCCCTGCCATCCTCTGTGATGATGCATCTGGTATAGGTCACAAAGTGGGTGACACCAGGGAGAAGGTCAAGGGGTCCCATCATAGGAAAACATGCTCCGACTGTGTG